GAGGACTCGACTTTAAAGTGTTGCTGATCGTAGACAAGCTCCTGGCCACCCTGTGGCACTCCGGTTTGCACATAATGAAGTTGAAGTCGTCTTTCTCCCCCCGGATACCACCTCCATCCTCCAACCTCTCAACCAAGGCGTGATTCACTGTTTCAAGGCCACATACATGAGGCTTATGTTCTCACAGATACGTAGCGCTATGGATGCTGATCCCAATCTTAATGTGAGGGAGTGTTGGAAGTCCTTCAACATTGCCGATTGCATCATTTATATTAAACAGGCAATGAATGCAATCAAGCCTGAAACAGTCAATGCATGTTGGCAAAACCTATGGAAAGAATGTGTGAATGATTTTAAGGGTTTCCCGACCATTGACAAAGAAGTGAAATGCATTGTTCAGGTGGCCAGGCAAGTGGGTGGTAATGGCTTCGTCGACATCCTTGAGGAAGAAATTGAGGAATTAATTGAGGGCCATAGAGAAACATTGAATAACGAAGAGTTAGAGGAACTGATAAAATCGTCTACAGAAGACGAAGATGATGACGATGAACAGGAAGAGCCAGCAAGTTCGAATTTTCATAAATTTGCTGAAGTGTTCCAAGCAGCAAAACACTTGAATGATTTAATTTCTGAATACGATCCCTCTATGGAACGAAGCCTCAAAATCACACATAGTATTACGGACGATTTGAGACTGTATCAAGAAATGTTTGAACAGCTCGAGAGACAACAACGACAGTTGCCGATCACCATGTTTTTCAAGGAAAAACAACCAGCAGCAGATGAGCCTACGCATTCAACTTCTCGAGCTGAACCAGAGCCAACCACTTTGTCTACAACTTGCTCTCCGTCACCTCCGTCTCCTGGATCAACATCAAGCCCTGAGGACCCCCTGTAATTACCCCCTGTAATTAAAAATACAGTACCGTAAAATTATATTTTGCATATGTACTCTGTATTATATACTGTACATTACTGTATACATTATACATATTACTGTACAGAGTTGTACACTGTACACAAAACCATGTACAGTATACTGTACTTTATGGGTGATTTAAAGGATTTTCAAGGGTAATTTTGACTATACACAATTTTCGCCTTACACGCTGACTTTAGAACCTAACCCCCGCATAAGATGCGACTCCACTGTATTGTGTAACTAGCAACATTTCTTTCTTTCATCCAGTAAAAACCAGCCTTGTTTGTTTTTAAGATAAAATAGCACATTGTCACAGACCTCCTGCAGAATCCCATCTTGATATGGATTATTAATATTTACTTTGTGTATTAATTTTAAAGTAATACTGTGTATCCATATTTCCCTGTGACAGTGTTTCTAGCTATCTTGTTTTGCTTTTTTGTGACTAAGGTCATTCCTCTAAGCAGGTATTTATTTGTTGTTGGTTTTTTTTAGGATGCTGTATCCTCAAATGTATGTGCTCATTTGTTTGCCTTTTGGTACCTTCATTAAACTGCTTTTCAAAGTTTTTGTTGCTTTATTGTTTTTCGTTTCATGTAATAGCAGAGAAGTCTGATGCTCTCTGAACAGCTAATTACATCTTGTGACTTTTGTAAAAACAGCCTCAAGTTGGTGATCTATTATCTGTAATAGAATCCTCTGCCCCTCTTCAATGTATTCAGATCTCAAGGGGGGGACAAAATCTTTTTAATAATAACAAAATACTGCTTTAACTTTCCTGAAAAACAGCTGTCCTGTGGCACCTTTGAGACTAACAGAAGTATTGGGAGCATAAGCTTTCGTGGGCAAGAACCTCACTTCTTCAGATGCAAGTAATGGAAATCTCCAGAGGCAGGTATAAATCAGTATGGAGATAACGAGGTTAGTTCAATCAGGGAGGGTGAGGTGCTCTGCTAGCAGTTGAGGTCAACTGCTTTTTACAGATTCAGACTAACACGGCTACCCCTCTGATAGCTGAGCCTGTGACAGTTTGGTAGTAAGTAACTTAACATTTTCCCTCATCCTCACCTTCAAAGCTCTGTAGGAGTCTCAGAGCTATTATTTATTTCTGGTGGCATCCACAGCATATTTACACACAGTAAGACAAGACCCAGTCTCACCATCAGGAGCTCACCGTTTAAAGCCAGGTAAATAGAGGAAAAGAGGCACAAGATGAGATCACAAGATGAGATGACTAGCTATTTTAGTGATAAATGATGTTATGTTAACACAACTTTTCAATCAGGAGATATAATCTATTCCCCATTAGCTTTAAAAAGCCACCGCTGAGGCTTCTTTCCTCCTCCAACACCTCTCAGCTACTGAGCCTGGCTGTCTTGACTTTTTTTTTCTATGTTGTTGTAGCCATGTTGATCTCGGGATATGAGAGAGACAAGGTGGATGAGATAATATCTTTATTGGGTTAACGTCTGTTGGTGACCTGAAGAGCTCCGGGGAGCTTGAAAGCTTGTCTTTGACTAGTAAGAAGATGGTCCAATAAAAGATATTAAGTATCAGAGGGGTAGCCGTGTTAGTCTGAATCTGTAAAAAGCAACAGAGGGTCCTGTGGCACCTTTGAGACTAACAGAAGTATTGGGAGCATAAGCTTCGTGGGTAAGAACCTCACTTCAAGATGAAGAAGTGAGGCTCTTATCTACGAAAGCTTATGCTCCCAATACTTCTGTTAGTCTCAAAGATGCCACAGGACTCTCTGTTGCTTTTTAAAAGATATTACTTCACCCACCTTTTCTTTCTAGGAAAAGTAGCTAAATTTAGGTAGGTCTTAGCTAAAGTGCTAGCGAAATCTGAGCTTAAACTAGACA